TCCATTCCTCCCCCATTTCTAAGCAGTCATGACCATACAAGTAAACTCAAGCCTTTTACTTGCAAACTCCACTCCAATCTCCACATAACTGGGAATGCATGTTTTCTAACAAGAGCTTCAAATCACGATTAACCAGTCAAAGCAGATACCGCTATGACATATGCATTTTGTAGGCTGCATAAAGCCACATTAGAAACCAGTGAAATAATTGAGGGACCAAATAGTCCATGTTCTAAAAAAACATGCCTGGCCCTTAAATTAGGATATGGATGTAAACAGAAGGCAAGCCCACAAAATATGAATCCCTCACCTAGCGAGATAGTTGTCCATTCTTTCTGAAATACTGGGCAACCCTACGATATCCAGTATGAAACTTTCAGAAATGTTGTGTCTACAACAAAACATCCTATTAACTGACAGCAGAGCGTACACAGAACAAAATAGTGGACAATCCTATTAGATGATGACAAGTTTTTTTCCCTGGCTCAGATATGCTCAACTATGACCGGGTGGGGAGGAGAAGACACACACAGGTCCAAATTTAAAACTAACCCCTACTAGAAACATGGAGATACCACCTACAATGGTTTTGTTGCCAGTATGGGTTTTGCTAACACAGTACTTATTTGAAAAGCTAGTTCTGCAAATGACTTTAGCCTTCAGGACAAAATTTATGTTTTCAGTGTATGCGTCAAAACTCTGCCAACAAAACACAAACCTATTAACAGAACACATGAAGACAAACAAGCTATGGCTACAGGAATATGAATTAGACAAGGCAACATGTTTTCAGTCAGTACAATTGTGCGAAAGAACAAAACATGTCAGGCGTTTGCCTTAATATAAGACACTTGAAAGCCATGTTAATATCTTGTAGAATGTAGAACTCTCAAAATGTTAGCAGGTTTAACGCCGATGAGTCAACACCACTGGTGGGAAAAGGTTACAGTTCATTAATGAGAAGGATTCTTAAAGAAGAACTCCAGCAAATTGTTTATTAACCCTTGCTGTGGAGCTACCCCTGCAAGGGTTAACTGCGCGTTTGTGTCTAGGTTAAAAAAACACAAAAGATATACTCACCCAAAGCTCCGAGCCGGCTTCTTCTTAGACCTGTCCTTCCAAGGTATTGTCCCCTCCTCTGCAGCAGTCTAAGGTCGCGTAAATCATCAACGTCTATACACAGTGTATACACGGAGGAAGATTACAACACTGCAGGGGAGACAGGCTGGAGAGAGCTCCGTGACAGCAGATGGCTCGGAGCTTCGGGTAAGTAGATCTTTATTATTTTAGACACAAACAAGCACTTAACCTTTCCAGTGTGGATCTGCATGTACTCCTTTTCCACATGAGTGCCTCACTATGTAGTAAAGCTGGAAAATCAGTATGAAAGCCAAGGAGTTTCACCTAGATTGTTCTTTAACATATGTAGGCGTTACCGTACCAACTGGAAATTCACGGTGGGGGCCTAAGTTTGTGGGTCCCGATTTATACGTCAAGAACCTCTGGTTGATGAGTTAAAATGCTAATGATGTACACAGATACTTATTTACACAACACGAAAACATTAAGCACATTGTAAAAAACAAGGTTTTCTAATGTCACCCTGTCTTAATCACTTGCTTCCTCAGTTTAATACTGGATAGAAGTAGGAGAGGTTCCTTAACCAGTTCTCCGGAAACCCAGAAAGGCCTAAACAATACTATTAGCTTTGAAGAGGACCTTGCAGTTTGAGCACATAAAATTAGTATGACAACCACCCTCACCTTGTTGCTAAACAGCCTCCGCCCCTCTGACAAGGCTTTACATCAAATTTTTAAGCATCTGTGGGAATTAGTGCCCATTCAGCCAAAAGAGTATTTGTGAGGTCAGGTACTAATGTTGGCCAACAATATCTGGCTCGCAATTCATCCGAAAGGTGTTCAGTTGGGTTAAGGTAAGGACTCTGTGCAAGTCACTCAAGTTCCTCCAAACCAACCTCATCAAACCATATATCGATCTGGCTTTGTGAACACCGCCATGAAGGAACAGAAAAAGACCCTACCAAAACATTAGGAGCAAGGCTGGAATCGCACAATTGTCTAAATGTCTTTGTATGCTCTAACAACAACAGTGCCCTTCACTGGAAATGCCTGAACTCAAAAGTTTGGAGGTGTGGCCAGATCATTTTGGTCATATAACTTAGGTTTGATGGTCAGGTGTCCACCAACATTAAGCCATATAGAGTATGAAACCAGACAATTGCACTGTCTGTTCCACATATGGACAATATTCGCAGTACAGAGAACACTTTTGAGCCAGCATATTCAGACACACAGAGATCTCTGCTGTAGTTTGGCTGGGAGGAAGGAGACTGCTAACATTACAAATAAAATGACCAACAGATCAGGAAGTCAGAACTGTCATTTTTTTTGGCACTATAAACCTGAGTAACGTAGATGATGCCATTAGATTACCATTTATTTCACACAAGTTCCAGCAGAAAAAGAAGACTAAGAGACTTAAAGGTTGTGATTTTAAATGGCCGTATCTGTATAATAGATGTTTTTGAATTAGGCAGGTCAAATGTGTTTTTGGGTAAGTAGGCGCCTTTGCTTTGCATTAGCCAAAATGTAAATTATATGCAGGACCTGCATGTTTCTTCTTTTATAGTCTAGGATATATGTTTTCATTTTCTCTTTAGTTACTTTTTTATTTTTGTTACAGTAATCAGGTAAGTGTGGTTCTTAGCAAAACTCTCACAGGGCATTACAGAAATAGGACCGGTCTATATGGGCTTTTCTTTTCCATACAAGTCAATGAGCATTCAAAGGCATCTTTTTTAATGTTTTTGTCAGAGAATAGACCTATGCTGATCCCAAAGATGGTTAAATTCACTTACTCTGAGTTGACTTACTAACGCTAATAGAAGTCTGTTTCAGGTTTCAGGCATCCACTACTTCTTTGGCAAAACAATACTTTCTAACATTGCTCTTGGACTTTTCTTCTGACAGCTCAAGGGCATGTCCCTATTTTCTTAAGCATGGCTTCATATACTGTATGTGTGTGTGATATATATATATATATATATATAATGCTGCCCAATTGAACACTTCCTCCTTTTATGTACAGCACACTGTTTCATTTAAGTTAAAAACAGCTGCCTCTAATAAACTCAGAGTAGCCTGGTGTATCCTTACTGCTCCAGCTTACCGGGTAGGTAGGGGGAACCCAAACTTGCAAGCCTTCTGTGATGAACACAGTAAAATTGCAGAGGGTGAAACCAAAACTGGAGCACAAAACTACTGAATATGTGCCAAAATATCAAAACACACATTAGAAGGAGCATGATACCCTGGATTGAAACTTAGCCTCTGTAAAAATGCCAATTATAGCTGACAGTTTTTCAACCAATCACAGTCAATGACCGATGGACCAGTTAGAGGTCCAAAATGCTCAAGACTGTAGTTAAGGCACTTCAATATTTTACAGCAGTGGGGCAGTTTTAATCCAGGGGACACTGGTTACATGAAATGTGGTGATTACTTTTTGTAGAATTTCTTTGATGAAGAATGGATCAAAGCCTATACTACACGTAGGGATCCAAATCAAAAGCTGGATCTTTTTACAGAACCCCTTTGAAACTCTAGTATGTTTTTCCATATATGTAGCATTAGAATATAAAAAGGAACCTCTCTATGGGAGTTGCCATCCTGTTTTTGATAGTACATGGTCCAGGGCCATCATCTTGATCCTTGTTCAGTGTTTCATAGGTCATCATCTCAGAACAAACATGTGATCGGTGAATGACATCTGATACGTTACAGATCACTTATGTACCATCTACTAAACCCAAGCTCAGGATCATGACCTGGAACTTGTACTTCCAAAAATGACTGGTACTTCAGCAACAGCTCACATGTTTCTATCGTGGCAGGTCCTCTTCAAAGCTCTGCCTGGTACCGATTTAAGAACCTCTGCCATTCACCAAACTTCTTTTCCACATTACGTCAATGGTGTAAATACTCAGCTGCTGCAGTTCTAACACTCAATACAATTTTACAGTATTTATACAGCTTTCAGGGTTTCCATTATTGGTGTGAACACTCCCGAGTTGGTTGGTATCCAACGACTTCCTTCGTTATACCGCCTCTGCGAGAAAGCCCTCTTTGGTTCCATTTTTGGAATGCTTTTGGAATGTATGTATTTGATATAATATATAGTCTTACTTTCTAAGTGCTTGTAGAAACAGAGGAAAGAAAATACCCTCATTTTTTTTGTTTTTTAAATCTTGGCATTTTTTAAAACGTTGAAATGCTCGAATTTGCTTTTTGTAAAGAAATACATCTGTGTTTAAAAAGTATACTCAAACGGCTGATAAAAAAAGAATCTCCTGCATTGTAAACATTAGGTAAGCCAGTTGTAGAACTCAGCTGGACCTGCTCTTCCAGGGCGTGTTCTGTAAAACCGCAAGAAAGGGAAAGCAAAAGTGTGGCCCAAAGCAACCAATCAGAATCCACAAAGATCAAACAGCATTGATATTACTCTCTGAGTGGGTACAGGTGAAATGATTCACCGACAGTCTTCTAACATCTCCCAAGGACTCCAGTGGCGACACAACTGCCCCTGAGTTCCAAGCTCCGCCCAGTTTATATTAATTCACATATTACATTACAGAGGGGCAGCAGGAGTAAAACCCCTTTAACAAGCCTTTGTAATTACCAAAGTAATGAGACAGACCCATTAAAATTTTGCAGAGAGTCTTGAGTCCTCAAATGACATAAGACGGCAATGTATCATTGGAGTCACCAACCCTCTACCAAAAACAGCCATATCCATTTTGATTGGAATGACCCTTTAACTGCAGTTACAAAAGTTGGCTGGTAGCTATGGGCCAACACTTCTATCCCCTTATATTTTACAGAACACCCTCCTAATTGGTAGCTGAGTACTTAACGGCCGATACCGAGCTTTAGAGCCTTAGAACAGGCCAGCTAGGGGGCACAATATTGGCTGAGGAATGGGTCTCAATTCTAACTGCTATTCAGATTCACATCTTTTTCACAGTATGTTGTAGAGAACCAGATACGTCAGTGCATTACTTCCTGTTATAATACAATACCTCCCTTGCCTTATCATACATTCGTTTTCATGTCAAGTAATACTGATAGTGTTTCTTTCTCGGCGCCGTTTCGTCATAAGTGTCGGATCAGATCTGAAGACGAACTTTTGTACAGGTACTTCCAGATGGCGTAATAATGCACGGCAGCTGCAAGGGCAACGAAGAGGTGCCAGATGGCATGCGCAAAGGGGATGATTCCGTCACTCTTAAAGAAGACAACACCCAAGCAGTAGATGAGGCCTCCCCAAGCCAGTTCTTGCAAGCCTTCTGTGTTGTTCTGTGTAAGGAAAGGATTGCAAATTTGAGAAAGTAACAAACCCTTCAATAAAAAATAGCGGTTTTCCAACAATTAACTGGTGCAATAAAGGAGAACTATGAGATGAGTGATTTACACGATGAAACTGTCACACGTCGGCCCTATTGATCGGGAAGAGAGCAAACACATACCAACTCGCTCACTTCCCCATCATCTCCCCGCAGAGAGCGGTGACTGTTAGTTACTGCTCCCAGCAGGGATTCCCCCCCCCTCCAGCGCTGACTGGTGCAACGGATAGCTGTAGCTCGCGGTGAGCTTTGGGTCACGGGAGGATGCTAGGTTATGTACTCCCGTGACCCTTAGGGGAACCATGGGGGAAAAACACTTATCCCATAGTTCTCCTTTAACTTGAATTAGTGACAGTTGCCGCTTGTAAACATGCGCAGACATTAACACTGGTGCCGTATATAGTTACACTTTATTTTAAAGCATGAGATTTGACAAGCGGCCCCCACGGGCCTAACAGATTTGTCCAGGGGCCCCTGAGTAAATTGAGTTTGAGACCCCTGGCGTAAAAAATTTAGGACAGAAGATACAAATCAAAAATTTTAGTTATGGTGGATTCTTACCATTGAAGTCACTACTAGAGCAGGAGAAAATCCCATTGCTAGATAGAAGAGCAATTCAATTATTTTATACCTGAAAGATTAAAAAATGCTGTTACTGACATGTTTAAAAATAGTCAATGCCACCATTGATACATCATGTACACCAAAGTCCTCACAGCCAACACTGACTATAAGGAGAGCAGTCTGCATTTCTACTAACAACCAATAAGACCATATCTTCCTTAAGCTGGCCATACATGTCGCAACGTTTGGCAATTATAACCACCGTTGATCATCTGGGAATCAAACGTACAAATAAAAATAGGTGCCAGGAAATGAATCAATCAATCTACCACCCACAAGTATCATTGACCACCAGAATTCAGTAGATCAAACTGGGCTATAATCTGACAGCCTCAATACAGGTTACTAAAAAAAAAAAATCAATCAATCAAAATCTGAAAAAAACTATGGCAATTTTGTCAAGAGGGATTCATTCTTCTGCTGGGTTTGACTGAGGCAATTTCAATCGAAGCTCCTTGCGGGACACCATAATTTCCATGTTCAATCCCTTGGGAATTTGATGCCAGTGAATTGACGCGGTTAAAAGTGGTTGAAATGGTCTGAGATTTGCCACGTGTATGGCCAGCTTAATTCTAACCTGCAGCAGAAACCTAAATGGAATAATCTGATTGGCTGCTATAGGCAAGATAGTTGGTACTTTATTCAGACAACCTCATGCACAAGGCTCAAAGAAAGCTAAACAATCCAAACTTTATGATTAATAAAGCATGCACATTTCTAGAATATAATACAGTGGGTAATACTAACAATGAAATAATTGTATCTATTGCTACACACAAATATGGAGGCTGATTTTGTATTTCTTTGTACTGGATGAAGGAAGGTAGAGAGTTTGATAGTCTGCCAAGTATGTTTTAGACTCGTAGACTTATTTCAAGCATGCGTGTGACAGGTAAAGTTTAGCTTTCTTGTTTGCTATAGATTTTAATAGAGTATCCACCAGAGTGTACAGAACATAAAAACATGGTGGCACCTGCCTTCTAGTAGGATATTTCCTGCAATATGTACATTCAAATGAACCAGTGGCTAAGTCCTGTATAGCAGTGGTCCCCAACCCCCGGGCCCGGTACCGGTCCGTGGATCAAATGGTACCGGGCCGCCCAAGGAACATTAAATTATTTCCATTTTATTTACTGTGGTGTATTTCTCTCGGGTTTGTCCGACTTTCCAGGACGAGAGGTTAACCGGGAGTCGACAGACGTCACCTAAAGCCGCACCAATACCGCGCATGCGCAAAATATCGTGATATCGGGGCGGTTTTAGGTGACGTCTGGAGCTGAGCGGCTGCAAGCGGCAGTGGCGTTGTAGCTTTGGTAAAGAGAAGGTGTGTATCGCTCTTCTCTCTGTTCACCGGTACTTTCTCATGTTTAACAGTGCTTGGTGTACGTGTATATTGTGTTTGCTCAAATTTAACCCACAAATTAGCAAAAATGAGTACGAAACAGACGTCGTTAGAAAGTTTCCTTGGGAAAAAGAAAAGGCCAGTGAAGAGACAGAAGAAGGGCCTTCAACATCAAAGAAACATGTAACTTTTAACAGACAATACCATGAGTCCTACTTGAAATATGGATTTATAGGGACAGGTGATTCCCACACACCAAAACCGCTCTGCATAGTTTGCGGCGGCCAGCTCTCTAATGAGGCAATGAAACCTTCAAAACTGCTTCGCCACTTGAACGCGGGCCGCAGTAAAATTATCAAACGTTGACCGGTCCGCGGCGATAAAAAGGTTGGGGAGCACTGCTGTATAGTAAACGACACAATATGGCCAAAGGTTTGTGGACACCAAACCATCACTCCTATATAAGCTTCTTGGGCATCCATTCTAAAACCATGGACAACACCTTATGGAGTTGGCTACCCTTTTGCTGCTATACCTGCCGCCACCCTTCTGGAAAAGCCTTTTGAAGAGATTGCTGAGTATACAGTATCCGTGGAATACTGTGCACACTGAGCCAAAAAAAGCAGTGAGGTCCAGTACTGAAGTTGGACCAGAAGACCTGACTTGCAACTAGAATTCAAATTCATCCCAAAGATGTTAATTTGAGGCTGGGGCTGTATGCAGACCTCATAAGGAACTAGCTTTGTGCACAGGGGTACAATCATGCTGAAACAGAAAAGAGCCTCCCTTAAAGCATAGCCATAATATTAAAAGCACACAATTGTCCCCTCCCAATTGTCCCCTCCCCTCACTCACTGTGTGCCGGTGATCGGATCATCAAATACGGTACACACAAATGGAGAGTTCAGCAAGTGGAGCCAGAACAAATTTTTTTTGGCAGAGGAGAAATGCGATGATAAAGGACGGGTTGGGGAGAGATTTGTATGATTTCTATTTGTATTCACATTAGCCATTGTTAACAAGGTAAATAAGCATAGTGTAAAGTAAAAGAAAGAAGCTTACTTTTCATGGTACAAAAACACATAAATAGTTCCACCTGCTGCCATCAACCAGATAAACCACCGCATGTGAGAAGCCAAAGGGCCAAGTTCACGTAGATTTAACCTGGAACGAGAGGGCATCACACATTTTATGCTCATTTATCACTTGCATATTAGGGGTTGTAGAACAACCTAGACTTTGCTTATCACATTGTGAAACTCTTCCATGGGACCTCTGGAGTTCTCCAAGGTCAACTATCTTATGTAATCCCACCAGCATGTTGCGATTCTGCTATTAGGCACCCTTCCAACTTGAGGTAGATCTATGCCCTAGTTGGATAAAGTCTAATTTGTTAAAGCACTGTGTATCAAACGGTCATGAGGATTATTTACATAAAAAAGCATTTTTATACTTTTTTTTCCCCCATCAATGTTTGCATCTCAGTGCTGATGATCTCCTCCAGTCCTTTTCAGCAGTTTCCCATCAGCATACAATCACATCTGTGTCAGCTGCACATCATCGTTTAAGTCTATGTTCCTGACAGTGACAATGGTGGACCAAACCTGTGCAATGTGTGTCGGCAAAGCCATTTGTAGTCTCCACCAGATGCGAATGGGACAGGAGCACAATGTGGAGACATTTGTCACCTTATAACAGGAAGTGCATGCACAAGGATCTTTATGGCAGGATCACCAGGTATTATTTTAATAAAAGCTGCAAATATGAAAAACAAATTTTACTGATGCCGTTAACACTTTCAAACCTTTATCACTGCTTAATTACATTAAAGCTTGCCAGGCAGCACCAGGATGCCATGCTAAAAAGAAAGCATGCTTTAAAGCAGAACTCCACCCCCCCCTTGTGTTTTTTAACCCTATTCATACATACCAACTAGGGATGCACTGATATCGATACTGGTATAGGTGCCGATACTGAGTATTTGCAATCAAAGCTTAACTTGAAAAGCTCTTTTATGCAGTGAGCGCTGCCTTCCCTCTATCACTTTTAACAGCTTCCTGGATTCCCAGTGTGCTTTGCGTCTCTTTTCCTGCTGCTTGATGTGATGCAATCTTGATTTCTCAAGACTACATATCCCACCATGCATTGCTTCCAGCACGCAATGATAATATTACATTGTTCAGATGTTGAGTTGTAGTTCAAAGGGCAGCCTATGTGAGAGGCTGCCCAAGCATATATTTAGATACAGGTATGAATGAACACCCGTGGACACAGTCATTGATGTGCCAAACACCCCGGTACCCATATGAATCAGCCCTATAGGAAAATGTTGCAGCAATATCAGTTCTAGGCCGACTGATCCTTTAATGAAACTTATTTAAATGTCTTCCAAAACCATTTATGCACATTAAAATACACCAAATCAAGCGTAGCAGAAACAGACAGAAAACATACAACAAATGCAAATTTACTACATCTCTAATACCCACCATGGTGCATAGGAGGCGGCAATGAAAAAGTAGATGACCATTCTGTCACACATGTGGAAACAATGCTCTATAGTCCTGGAAACAACAAAGGAAAGAATGCTTATCTAGAGAGTTCGGTAACTGATCCACCGCTAGATAAATAATGCACTATTGTCAGGGAAAGTTGCCAATTATTTTTCTGCTTTGGTGACAATGCCCCAGGGGGTTCATTCACAATATCGAATGATAACAAAGAAAAAAAAATAGTGAGATGCATCACGTGTTTCTGCTGACCTGGCTTTCCTGTGTGTGTGCTGGACATCTGAGCCATGGAAAAGCTACATTTGTATAGTGGGAATATTTGGTGATATTACAAATAATTAACTATTTTAGTGGGTAAAATGTGAAGAAGAGGAGAGTGCAGAGGCAATGACGGTGTGCAGTATGTGCAGGAAATGAGTATACAGGTTATTACAGAAGGTAGTGCAGTGTGTGCAACCTCATAGTTGGTGGACTTGTCGGCATGTAGGTCTTCCCTGGCGAGAAGGTGGGATCAATCGCAGGAGTCGGGACCTGGCATTAACTCTGAGTGTGTGTCAGCTTCCAAGATCCATGTGTGGCAGAAGTTGCTGACCTAAGGAAGTATGTGTGAGTGAGTGGTCATCAAGATGCAGGAATCTCAGCTGACAGGTTATTGAGGTGGTAGGCATCAGAGCTGGGGAGCAACGCTGTGTATTTGCAGGAGTGGAACTACAGGCAGTGGAGGGGTGATAGGAGCAGTCAGGGCTCCCTGAGTTGAGCTGCCCAGGGTTGTTGAGATGCTGGGAGTGTTGTTTGTGTGGGGGGGGGAGGCAGCTAGGAATGGAAAATGGTACCTAGGAGATTTAATCTGCCCTCAGAGATGCAATCTGGCCAGGAGGGTTGCAGAGTTGTGGGGAGACATGGTGCCCTTCAGGGATATGATTTGGCTTGCAGGGATGGCGTTCTTGGGGACCTGCTGAGCTATAGAGGGATGCTTAGCTGCAGGGAAGGCAGCAGAGCCACAGGGAGGGCAGAAACAGGCAACAAAAGAGGAATGGGCAGGGGGGAGAAGAGGAAAAAGGAAAGGAAATCAGTACAGGAACAGAATCCCCCAGTTGCAAAACAAAACTCTACTCTACCCCAGTGGGTAAGTGAAAATGTGCTGAGAAAAGAAAACTCTAACTTAGCTTTTATATCAGTACCTGACCTCACAAATGCTCTTCTGGCTGAATGGACACAAATTCCCATAGACATACTCCAAAACCTTGTGGAAAGCCTTTCCAGAAGGGTAAAGGCTGTCATAGCCGCAAAAAAGGACCAACTGCATATCAATGCCCATGGTTTTGGAATGGGATGTTCAACAAGCTACTATAAGTGTAATGGTCAGGTGTCAAAAAGCTTTTATCCATATAGAGTATCGGTGGATTTTTTTTTTTTAGATCTATATAAAACTACTGTTTTACAAATTAACATTTTATATAGAGAGTACCCATGACAAAGGATTCTCAGAGTGTCATGGGGTTGTTAAAGAGAGAGCAGTATAGACTTCCTTTCAGACTCTGTCTCTGATAAAAACTTTATACAGGGTTGTCTAAAAAGGAAAGCAGGAAGGGGCAGGAAGGAGTGAAGGATTATTGATCCAGCTCAGAGTCTGAGCTGTTGAGCTCTGTAACCAATGTGCTTTAATATACAGAGCGGCAGGAAGGGTTGAGAGCTGTGGAGCTCTGTAAACAATGGGCTTTTATACACCAAGAAGCAAGAATGGGCAGGTAGGGTTGAAGGGTTAGTTTCCCGACTCCGTTTGAGCTGTTAAGCTCTGTAAACAATGAGCTTTTAAAATACAGAGTAGCTAGGTAAAGACTGGTAAACCAGTGTAAAGGACACTAGAGCTATACAGAACTATAACATATTCAGATTTCATAATTTAAGCCAAGCTAAAAAAGAACATTTTTATTTAGTCTTGAAAATAATGAAAACAATATATACAAAACTGTTATATATTATCTCTATCGGGTGCAATCTACAGTAGCCATGTGTAAGGTACATGGTCACATTTCGGGGACAATCTACAGTAGCCATGTGACAATCTACAGTCGCATTTCTGGACCCTGCGACTACACCACTGCTGTGGTCTGTAGTCGCAGGGTCCAGAAATGTGACCATGTACCTTACAGGGGGTTAGCATGTCACCGTGAGTGGGGTTCCCTTTCCGTGACACCATGTTTTAGAGCTTTAAAAAACAAGTGAACCTTTATTCCACATTCGCTCATTTCATACAGCCGGGCAATGAAAGCGAGTTTGCAAATGTAACCTTTCACCTTTTTCCTTCTGTGAGGAGGCAGCTAGAAATGGAAAATGGTACCTAGGAGATTTAATCTGCCCTCAGTGATGCAATCTGGCCAGGAGGGTTGCAGAGTTGTGGGGAGGTATGGTGCCCTTCAGGGATATGATTTGGCTTGCAGGGATGGCGTTCTTGGGGACCTGCTGAGCTATAGAGGGATGCTTAGCTGCAGGGAAGGCAGCAGAGCCACAGGGAGGGCAGAAACAGGCAACAAAAGAGGAATGGGCAGGGGGGAGAAGAGGAAAAAGGAAAGGAAATCAGTACAGGAACAGAATCCCCCAGTTGCAAAACAAAACTCTACTCTACCCCAGTGGGTAAGTGAAAATGTGCTGAGAAAGGTACATGGTCACATTTCTGGACCCTGTGACTACACCACTGCTGTGGTGTGTAGTCGCAGGGTCCAGAAATGTGACCATGTACCTTACAGGGGGTTAGCATGTCACCGTGAGTGGGGTTCCCTTTCCGTGACACCATGTTTTAGAGCTTTAAAAAACAAGTGAACCTTTATTCCACATTCGCTCATTTCATACAGCCGGGCAATGAAAGCGAGTTTGCAAATATAACCTTTCACCTTTTTCCTTCTGTCCCCTGAGAGCTCTACTGCCAGCGATCTGCCAGTTCAATTTTTGAATTCTTGAAGAACTTCAAACACTGGGGCACTCGTACAAGAGAGAGCATCCTAGAATTCCTTTAGATGTACATGCCCCTAGGTGCCAGTCTCTCTATAGCACTAAGAAGCAGTCTAGCCATCTTAAGATTCTAAGACACTTCTTTGCACTTACCCTTACCACTAGGGAAAAAAAATCTCAAAAGTATTAAATCCAGGTTACGCAAAACATAACAGAGATTAAAACATAATATCCAAATTGGGTATTTATTAACGTTCATAAGCATTCAATAAACAGACATATTTCTAGGAACAATGTTCAATGCCTGGGAAAGCCCCTGGAAAATCAGATGCAGTTGGCAGCTACTATCTATAGGTTGTAGGGATAAACAAGGAATATGCACATCTAAAGGAATGCTGGGAATGCCTTCTTTTTTAACAGAAAGTGTAGGTAGTCTTGTCTCTGCTCCCTCTCCCCTCATCAATTCCTTGATATTTTCTGGTACATTTGACCTATAATGAAGGAGAAATGGATTTTCAGGACTATAACCTGCTGGCATTAGGTCAAACAATTTTGGGAAGCAACATTTTTTTTTTAATTTATATTAGAAATGTGTACTTATTTTTAAGCAGTGGGCATTACAAATTAATTTTGGGGTTAGTTTGAAAAGCTTAGAACTTCACTTTTTTATTGTGACCTGTGTACTGTCAGTTTGACGGAACAGAAAGTAAGTAAACCCCCTCCAATGGGGACACAGGCAACAATAACACAACATTTTTCGAGTGAGGGTGGTTTAGGGCCTTTGTCGAGATTTTACTGCTGTCTGTTCTGTTTTAAAGGTAATTTTACTGGTGTTCCCATACAAGCTCCCACCCCCCCCCCCACCCCAGCTGCTCCTGTCAACCGAACGACA